GTCACCTGTTGGTTATGTTGTGACTGGAGTGATTGTGAAGAGCTATGATGTGGGTGGGACTAGGTAAGGCAGTGCCACTGGTCGGTGTTGTGCATTGCACCAAGTGTTCAAGCGACACGGAACGCTGTGAGAATGTGCAGAGTGTCACCTGTTGGTTATGTTGTGAGTCGAGTGATTGTGAACAATTGTGATGTGGTTGGGACTCGATCCGGCGCCCATTAACACTGCAGGACAGATCCAACGCCTTAGACCACTCGACCACAAGAAAAAGTGATAGGAAATGCACATTTCTTTTACTTTAACCTCCATTTATCCCACTCATATCCATCTTCATCCTACATCTATTTACACTGTTATTTTTTCCACTGACCCTGCTCACGCTCATTTATCAACCGTCTTCTCTAGTTAAAGCATTCCAGGTCACCGAATGTTATCGGCGATTACTTGATGCTACACTGGAAACTGCATAATGTAGCTGATAATTCTACTGGAAGATTAAGCCTGCTTTAAATACTCAGTTAACGGGATGATATTATTATTCTTATAATTATTATTCATTGGAATCAGATATAAAGGAAATTAGCTTGAACAAAGTTGGTTGATGAGCAGCAGCAGCAGCAGCAGCAGCAGCAGCAGCAGCAGCCGCAGTGACATTTGGAACATGCACCATTTTTGTCTACAAAGTCTGCATATTTAAAGCCAAAGTGACAGTTTTATTATTCGGTGAGTCTCATGTATGTATTTATTGTTGTTATTTGTTAATTCCTCATATTGTATATTTCAATGCTGAGCTTATTGTTATTGGTGTTGTTATTATTTCTTGGTATCATGTTATTTGATAATTGACTGAACCTTTTATGTAAGTGTATTCCATGGGTGCCATCTCTGTAGCTTTACCTGTATTTAATGCTCTAAAGTGTGAACTATGGTTTGCACGCTTAGAAAGTTGTTTTGCTTTGTGTTGTTGGAAAGAGAATTACAAGTGAGAGCAGGAAATTTAGTTAGACAAAGTGGTTGCTGCCGGACAACGTTATTGAATAAGTGCCTGGTGTTAATTTTAAGTAGGATGTTGACTCACCATACGAGTCGCACCCACATCATAGCTGTTCACAATCACTCCAGTCACACCATAACCACCAGGTGACACTCTGCACATTCTCACAGCGTTCCGTGTCACTTGAACACTTGGTGCAATGCACAACACCGACCAGTGGCACTGCCTTACCTAGTCACATTCACAGGCAACATGGTTTCACAGTATGCTACTACTCTGATGTATGCTGATCAGTGTATTCCTAGTTGTTCCTCAAATATATACTCAGCTTGGCTATCATCACTAAGTACAACCCTAACAGGCTTTCTTGCAGCATCTTTCCTACGTCCAGTAAGACGCATACAAATACGTGCTCGTACTAGAGGATCATGTGAATCCAAGCATGTGCTTCACAACAAGCGTCAGTCTTCTATTCAGCCTCTCCACCGATGGCTGATAGGAATACACTGATCAGCATACATCATAGTAGTAGCATACTGTGAGACCATGTTGTCTGTGAATGTGACTAGGTAAGGCAGTGCCACTGGTCGGTGTTGTGCATTGCACCAAGTGTTCAAATGGCACGAAACGCTGTGAGAATGTGCAGAGTGTCACCTGTTGGTTATGTTGTGACTGGAGTGATTGTGAAGAGCTATGATGTGGGTGGGACTAGGTAAGGCAGTGCCACTGGTCGGTGTTGTGCATTGCACCAAGTGTTCAAGTGACACGGAACGCTGTGAGAATGTGCAGAGTGTCACCTGTTGGTTATGTTGTGACTGGAGTGATTGTGAAGAGCTATGATGTGGGTGGGACTAGGTAAGGCAGTGCCACTGGTCGGTGTTGTGCATTACACCAAGTGTTCAAGCGACACGGAACGCTGTGAGAATGTGCAGAGTGTCACCTGTTGGTTATGTTGTGCCTCGAGTGATTGTGAAGAGCTATGATGTGGGTGGGACTAGGTAAGGCAGTGCCACTGGTCGGTGTTGTGCATTGCACCAAGTGTTCAAGTGACACGGAACGCTGTGAGAATGTGCAGAGTGTCACCTGTTGGTTATGTTGTGACTGGAGTGATTGTGAAGAGCTATGATGTGGGTGGGACTAGGTAAGGCAGTGCCACTGGTCGGTGTTGTGCATTGCACCAAGTGTTCAAGCGACACGGAACGCTGTGAGAATGTGCAGAGTGTCACCTGTTGGTTATGTTGTGCCTCGAGTGATTGTGAAGAGCTATGATGTGGGTGGGACTAGGTAAGGCAGTGCCACTGGTCGGTGTTGTGCATTGCACCAAGTGTTCAAGTGACACGGAACGCTGTGAGAATGTGCAGAGTGTCACCTGTTGGTTATGTTGTGAGTCGAGTGATTGTGAACAATTGTGATGTGGTTGGGACTCGATCCGGCGCCCATTAACACTGCACTAGAATCGTTGGCTATGGTGACACTTGAGGAGGAAGCCAAAAGAGGAAGTTTAGAGTTGAAAGTCGATGTAGGAGGAATTGAAGAGAGTAGTTTATTACGAATACAGTGGTCTTGAGTGCCGTTAGTGGTATGAGGGCGGTTATCACTTCCCGGTTGCTCACACCATGGAAGGGTTCTTCTAGAGGTGCCTGGAAAGGAAATTGAGTTAGAGGTGGTCTTAGTGACATATGTGAGGTTGAGAGCGAAGATTATCAGAAAGCTGAAATAATGAACTGGTCGTCGTGTCAGTTGACTAAATCTTCAATAAGTAATGCTAAATAATTGTTCAGTTGTTACATGTCGGTAAATGTATTGTGATGAGTGTTTATGAAACATGATAGTAGGCAGAGCTTCAACGACAAAACATCAGATTGTGAACCAACCTGTTAAAATCTGAAGAGTGGTAGGTTTCTGAGAATACCAGTCAGTCATAAATGTAGAACCTGTACGTATGTGCATCTGTTCAAGTTGTCATACCTCATTAACACAGAGATAAATTTGTCAGGCCAAATCTCATGATAGCACAGGCAGTAACAGTAACAGTGGGAATAGAAAAAACTAAGCGTCGAACAGACGACCTAAAAAGAAAATCTAATTAAGCGCAATATAAACAAAAATATGTTATGAGGAATGTAGAGTTTCATTATGTGGGGGAAGACAAAAAATAGATGCACATGCGCCATTCCAAACAATTTTGAGCCATGTCATTCAAAGTCTGACCATTGGTTACGATAATCACGCGGACCACAACCAGGTAATCTATACTTGCTAACATGGCTAAGTCCAATTGTCAGTAACATCACGTACTGATGCCATGTTTTGGCTCGGTCGCCCCTATCTTTCTTCTAGCTAGCAACTGCTGCACCAGAAAACATCACTCGTCGAGGTAAACGGTGGTTGGGTATACGTAACACATCCCAACCACCTCAGTTGATGAGGACTTACTACCTCACCAGTCGGTTCCCTATCCTCACCTGGCACTCTATTCTTAACCCAGACATTGCTTACTCCGTGGTTGCAAAGCAAAATACACGGACAATGCTTCGTAGACACCTATAACCAAATGCCAGTGACCCACTAATATCCTTTACTTTTAATGGCCACGCTTCACATCCACAAACTATAACGGAGCGAACGGCTGCGCAATAAACCCGCCCTGTAAGATAACTTACCTGCGCACCCTATTAATTCTAAACAACCCCTCACTTGTTTTGATAACGGAAAGTTGGCTGTCCTCCGATACCACAGACACATATCTACAAATAGACACCTATGAGCTCTTCCGCTGTGATCGAGTCACCAAGAAGGGTGGTGGTTGGCTCGTTTATGTATCAAAAAATTTGAGAGCGGAAATCTATAGCGACCACGTCCTCAGCAAACTTCCTGAATCGATACGGCTTACTGTGCACACTCATGAGTGTAAAATACTAATCGGATGCATTTATCGAGCTCCAAACACTCCTAGTTCAACTGACACTATTATAAGTGAGTCATTTGCTCAGGCTGCTTCGCTTGACTTCACTTACAAAATTGTATGTGGTGATTTCAACCTTCCCACCATCAAATGGAAAACACATTCTGGCCCATTGTGCTTTGAAAGCATACTTAGGTCCTTAGAAATACACGGCTGGCAACAACATGTACACCTGCCTACACGAAATCACAACATTCTTGACTTGATATTCTGTCATAATGTCACACCAACATCAATGGTGGTTGGCGAAAAGTTTCACAACAGCGATCATAAAATAGTCCTCTGCACCCTTCCGATTCTTGCCATATGCAACAAATTAAAGACATTAAACACGCGATTCCAATATAGAGACTATGCAAACGCTGACTGCGAAAACTTTCGATTTCTAATAAAGCACTCTGACTGGGGCAGTTTCTTTACCAGTAATAACCTCTTAGAAACATTAGAAATATTCAATATCACCACCAAATCTGCACTAGACACTACTATACCCTCTAAAATTGGTTTTAAAACAATTACTCCCTATGTAAACTAAAAGACTAGGTCTAAACTACGAAAACCGAAAAGGATGTACTAAATATCAAAAGACTTCAGTGCCCTGCACCAGATATACTCTGTACTTGACGGAGTACAAAGTCAACACAACAAGCATAAACAGGTAGAGGAACGTACTGCGCTCGCTGCTGCATCTAAAGCCCAAGCCCTATGTCGTCTCCTCACGAAACGCATAAGAAAGAACACAGACCACAACATTCACTCCTTACTGCACGATGGAGTAACGTATAATGACCAAACCGTCATATGTGAACTAGTAAGTGAATGGTTTCCTCACAATCGGAATACATCTGATGCTCCAGATATCGACATAAAGTGCACCGGCAAAAACTATCTTAGTACCATAAACTTCGACATTAGGAGTATACATACCGCCATTAAAACCCTTAAGCCAAATGCGAGTTCTGGTGCCGATGACATCCCTTCAATCGTTTATAAAATGTCAGGACCGGACATACAGACGCTACTACTCAAAATATACACATTATCTTTAGAGACAGGTACATATCCGGAAACCTGGAAGGTAACGTATGTTCTTCCCAAACACAAATCCGGACCGAGAAACCTGGTTGAAAACTACAGACCTATAAATATCAGTCCCATCATATCACGCATAATGGAAAAAGTGATACAAAATCAACTATCTGATCACCTACTCAAGGAACATCTAATAGACCCGTCACAACACGGCTTCATTAGAACAAGGTCGTGCAGTACATGCCTGATAGACTTCTTTAACGAGGTTACTCGTATACGTGACCAGAAGAAACTAGTTATTATACTATACCTCGATATTAAGAAACCCTTTGATAAAGTACTTCATAATCTTCTAATCAACAGACTTAAGTCAGTTGCAATTATAAATCCCCTTTTGCAATGGATCAAATCTTTCCTTACGAACAGATATCAAATAAATAACATTAACTCTAAAACATCTACACCTCGACCAATAACCAGTGGTGTTGTGCAGGGTAGTGTCTTGGGTCCATTGCTCTTTATAATCTACATCAACAATATATGCAAGTGTTTTAGCACAGGTAAGACCCACCTCTATGCCGATGACTTAAAAGTCATCTATAAAACTGACATTTGCGATTTACGCAGTACTATGCAAACAATCCAACATGAACTCAACATGGTAGACAACTGGTGCAAACGCTGGAGGTTAGAGCTCAACACAGAGAAATGAGACTGGTTATGTGTAGGAGACACATCTCTTAAAATGAAACACTTAGCAATCACACACTGCCCAGACTGGCATCAGTAACTGACCTAGGGGTACATTACTCACACAGTCTTAATATCTCTGAACACATCTCAGCCAAAGCATCCAAAATGCGGAAATTCCTTGGCTTTATTCTCCGTAATTGCTATCAAAATGAATCTAAAATCCTTCTTTACAACAACTATCCTACAATATACCCTTCTTAACGCTTATACTCTGATTGGCAAGCTATACTTTATAGTATAGTCAACAGAGGCACTGCATCGATGCTTTACCCACAGTCCATAGCTTGTAACTGCCTGATAAGCTTGTAAAATGGTACTAACAGAAATAGTGCCTTCCAACAGGTTGTGAAACAGAGGATTGTGTGAGGTATGACGTATATACAAAAATAAGCCTAAATGAGCCTAACATTACAAAAGGAGGGAGGGTGGAGTTACTGACCAGCAAGCAAATGGTTCAAATGGTTCAAATGGTTGTGGACGGAATAGAAGAAGCTTTCGCTTAACAGGCTTCCGTGTCTAGTAGCAGGGGATCACCAAATCCTCCAGGCAGGAACCTAGGTATGTTAGCAATAAAAGAGGAAAAGAAATTGGTAAATCATAGTGCGATGCTGTCCTTAGTCCTTAAGAATAGGTCAAGTTGCCTCTTGAAGGACTCCTGAGAAGTCGCTTGGACTAGCTCGGCCGGCAGCGAGTTCCAGCTTTTGACAACTCTTAAGGAGTAGAAGTTGTGTCTACATTCCGTCTTGCTATGTTGTGTTTCCAGTTTCTGGGTGTTACCCCTTAGGTTATTGTTCGAACTAAGCTTAAGTAGGTGTTTAAGAGGATGTCCAGAAGTATTAAGAATACTATAAGCCATTAATAAATCACCTCTAAGACGCCTATATTCTAGTGGGTAAAGGTCTAGCGAACGGAGGCGTTCTTCGTAAGGCTTAGATTTGAGTCCTCGAACTGATTTCGTGGCTCGCCGTTGGATACGCTCCAAAGTGACCTTATCCTTTTGGAGTGAGGGGGGGAGTACTATGTTTCCGTACTCTAAATGGGGACGGATGAAACTATTGAAGATTGTGTGGAAAGTTCTTCCGTCAAACTGGCCAAAAATGCGCCTCAACGTTACCAGTGCAAGGTTTGCTCGGAAGGCATTTTTGTCACAGTTAGCGTAAGACTTTAAGTCATGGGGCACCAGGACTCCTAAATCTTTTTCGATTTGGGATACTACTAGAGAGGAGTTTCCTAAGTTGTAACTGTAGTTTGCAACATGTCGCAGATGGACTACTTTACACTTTGAAGTGTTAAAGGTAAGTCCGTTATCGTCTGCCCAACTTTGAAGTCGAGTCAGATCCTCTTGAAGTGCCTGTATATCGTCTTGGTTGCGTATCTCTCTCCAAATTTTCACGTCGTCGGCAAAAAGTAATAAGTCTGACGTTACCTGTTGAGGAAGATCATTTATGTAGATCAAGAAGAGAAGAGGCCCTAGTACTGAGCCCTGGGGGACCCCACTAGGACATTCCATAGCTTGAGATAAAGTGAAATTAACCCTAACCTTAAAGTGTCGATTTTTTAGGTATGAATTAAGCCAGTCGATTAGAGGTGGTTTGATACCTAGTCGTTTGAGCTTGTTGATAAGACACAAGTGGTTAACCTTATCAAAAGCTTTTGAGAAATCAAGGTAAATGACATCAACCTTTCCCTTGCGATCGAGGATGCTTGTCCATCTGTCCACCGCAGTCAGCAGGTTGGTTATACAAGAGTAACCCTTCCTGAAACCATGCTGTTGGGGTGAGAAGAAATTTAAGGACAGTAGGTAGTCATTTAAACCGCCGCATATCAGGGACTCCATGAGTTTTGAAGGTAACGACAGAAGAGCTACCGGCCGGTAACTTGAAGGTTCATTGCGTCGACCACCTTTGAAAATTGGTGTGATGTGAGCCAACTTCCAATTTCCTGGTAGTTTTCCTCGGCTAAGCGAGTGTGAAAACATCACGCTAAGCGGCGTTGCCAGGATTGAGGCTGCCTCCCTCAGTATGGCAGGATGAACCATATCCGGGCCAGGAGAAGTGTCAAGTCTTAAGTGCTGCAGTTTCCGGAACACCAAGTCAGCGCTTAGGTCCACTTCAGAAAGTCCTGTGGAATTGCAGATGAAACTGTCGTCAATAAAGTTGATGTCAGCCGGTTGAAATGTTTGAGAGTAATGTGCCGCCAGAAGGTTAGCGGCGTCGCCATCGTTGTTGGTCGGGCCGTTAGGACCTAGCAGTTGAGAAACTCCTGTTTTGGCTTGACGAAGAGAGGCTGCATAACGGAATAGGCTTCTAGGGTTAGAGGCGAATTTGTCCATAAGCTTTGTTTGGTACTGAAGCCTGTCTTCTCTTATAGCCTTCGTGCATGTGTTCCTGATATGTTTGTATTGCCTATACGCTCCATCGTTATTAGTTCGTTTGTATTCCGCCCAACAGTGCCGTTTGCGGCTTAGGAGGCGAAGGGTACGGTTCTTGATTACTGTAGGTGGCTTGAAGCTTTTGGGAACCGTTTGAGGAACTGAATGGTCTGTAGCACATAAGAGCGTGTGCAGCAAGAAGTCCCAATGACCATCCACATCGATTTGAGGGTGAACATCCCAAACCACCTGTTGTAGATGGTCATGTAGAGCTGGCACATTCAGCCGTTTAAAATTCCAACGCAAATTATTGTTGGGATACCTTAGCTTAGTTTTGATGACAAAACTGAAGGCTATGACGGCATGATCGCTTTTTCCCAGAGGAGCCAGGATTGAGAGGTTGTCGACTAGGAATTCTTCGTTAGTGAATACACAGTCTAAGCGCGATGGTGTCTGACTGTTTCTCCAACGAGTTGCCGACATCACATTTTCATATAAGCCCAAGTTATCGATGAGGTTGAAGAACCGAGCTTCAGTTGAGTTGTCGCCTCCAGTGTACGTGTGTTCCGCGAAGTTGACTCTAGGGAGATTAAAGTCCCCTAGAATCAGGATGTGTGTGAAACCGAGACGGATAGAGCGGGATAGTCCTTCCAGCATACGACTATCGTACTCGGTGTCGGCAGTTGGCTTCCTGTAAATGACTCCGACTAGACACCTGGAAGTACTAGACAACCTTACAGAGCACCATATGGATTCCTCAAGATTGTTAAACTCGAGGTTGTGAACCTGGTGCACCTCCAAGCAAGAGCTTATGTATATGGCTACTCCGCCCCCAATTCCTGTTTTTCTGTCGTTGCGGAACAAAGACATCCCAGGTAATGCTAACTCTTGGTCCGAGAACTGAGAAGATATCCAGGTTTCAGATATTCCTATCAGATGGGCCTTGTTAGCGTTGCTAAGTTTACGTAGTTCATCCAGTTTGTTTGGTAAACTCGCGGCGTTCATATATAAGCAGTTTATGCTTTCAATTTGGAACGCATGAGCTTCGTCCTGTTTTTCTGTATGAACCTTATGTGAATGGACAGGTAGCCCACCTATATAAGGTTTGCCGAGGTGGTAGGCCCTGTCCTTTACACGTTTTTTTATCGTTTAGACAGTCCACAAGTGGAATGGTCAGCTCCAACTTGCCTTTGTTCTTGGTCCTAACTTCGTATGGCCTATCCGGGTGCATGTGGATTCCAGGTGGCAATCGACGTCTGTTAGCACGAAATGCTTCCAGAACTGCAGCCGCCATGTGGGAAGATGGGAAGGTTATCTTCATTAGACGGAGTCTAAGATCACCGTCCTTCTTGGCTAGTCTCGTCACATGCTGAGTCAGTATGTGTTTGAGCCTCAAGGACTGTTTGATGAATTTCCATTCCTTGATGTCAGAATTTGATTGAGTAGGGTCTGCATTTTCCGGTATACCTTGGACAATTATGTTTCTTCCGCGGAAGAACTTCTCGCGAGATTCTTTAGGGACGTTTCGTATGATATTGCGCTCAGAGTACGGTATGTCGGGCAATATTCTTACGTTACCATCTGATTTCAGTAAGTGACTTGCTAGCAAGACGTCCTCTACGTCGGTAGCAGCCTTAAGTGTTACTCGGAGAAGCCTCGGGTGATTTAGATGCTTAGAATCCTTTCCTCGAGTGAGCCGGGTGACCGTCAAAGGCTCTATTCTAGGAAGTTCGAGCTTCTTGTTCAATTCACCCCACAGCATCCTGTCGTTTTTATCCTGCAGACTGAGAGGAAGGTCAGGATTGTCGACGAGGTTCATGATAATGAGAGAATCGTCACGAACTGTTGTTAATTTACCAGGTTTCACGATGGGTTCACGTTTAATAACTTGTTGTTTGGAGGTCAGTGTGCGTTTGTGAATCTTGGGCTCTTTATTGACCGGACGAACAGTCTTGGGGGTAGACTGTGCGACTAAATCACCAGTTATTTTCCGTGCAGCAACACTTGGGTTGCTCGGCTTAGGCGGTGATGCCTGGTTCTTTTGGGCTCTCTTAACGTGGGTCGAATCACCTGCAGGGTTTTTGGGAACCACTGTTGTGTCCAGGGACCCTGAGCTGGGAGACCCGAGTTTGCCTAGGGAGTCTAGTACCTTCGACGTAATCATGGTACTGAGCCTCGACACGTCGTCATTAGTGTTGATGGATGCTCCATCGATGGTATACCTATCGACATCCCTATTTTTGAGTCCGTTGCGCGCTCTTGTTTGTATATTGGTTTTTTTACTGTCGTGTTCCAAGTTAACTGACAGATTATTCCGAAGACCTGTCAGTAGGACAATGATGTTACTCAGCAAGACTACTGCGTCCGTGTTGCACGTGACACATACCCACTTTTGGTCTGACTTGCTGAGTCTGTTGTAAGCGGTTGCTGTCAGATTTGTGCATGCTTCGTGGAACCAACCTTTGCAGTTGTCGCACTGCATGCCAGTTGTGACAGCAAAACGGCATCACGGACATTTGCATGAGTTTTTCATGACGGTGTTGAAGCAAACTATGTTATAGATGCTTGCAAAAGCTTAAGACCTTTTTAAAAAAAACACTAAAATGCACACTGAAAACGGACAAAAATGGACAAAACGAGTGATATAAACTGAAACTAGTCTATACGTGAAAAACAAAAAAAACCGAATAGTAAGCTGAGGCAAAACCACAGGTAACTATTAAATATAGTGAAACTCAAAAAAAAAGTAATCTACCGAACGTATAGCTCAGGATAGATTCTTTAGAACTGAAATGGTACTTTCGTTGCGTAAGAACACAGCAAAAGTTTGATATATGCAAATCACGTTAGGACTAAACTTCCCGTTCGAAAAGCGCGCATTGATGGTGAGGGCGATAACTTCAATCCACCCGTGTTTGTGGGGACAGAACATTTTGTATGTATCAGGCTCCTCATGATTGAGAATAAGTCAGTCAATCTGTGATATAAATTGTCTTCCTACGCTCACCACTCAGACTCATGTTTCCAATATTATGCTGGATTAGCTATTCTACTAAGACAACCTATAACATGCTAACTCGAACTTTCACACTAGGATTGTGTAGCTGGCATCGGGCAGACGAAAAAATAAAAAAAATTAGATAACAAAATATATAGTCATTAGTATTCTTAACACTTCACCCTCTATATACACACCCTCCTAATAAACCGCTTCCCTTGTACCAACCTTGACTTCCCTTCCTTCATGTGAGCTTACTCCAACTTGTTAAACGACACAACTCATTGTTCTTCATTAGTACATTCTCTAATATGGAGCCTCTGACTTCACTTCATTCTAACAAGACATAATATGAATTTATTCTAATTTATTATACCTCTGTCCGTTCTACTACACAATGTTAAGCAACGTTTGGCGTTCATATCCAAGTGCCTTGCTGCTCTTCTGTTTCTCTTTTTTTCTTCTTCAGAATCTTGCTCTGAGAGCACAGCTATGAAACTTCTGACGTTTGGAACAAACTTGACGTACGCGTCCTCTCAAGGTCATAGTTTACAGCAAGCGCTCTACGATATCACTTTATAGATTCCGATTCCGATTCACATTTGTGTAGTAAGGACAGAAGGCCTACGGCCTTTGTTATACCTTTTCTAGTATGCTTCTGTGAGTGTCCAGTCTTCTCTTGAAAGAGTCAATTGAAGGTGCGGACACCACTGCTTCAGGCAACAGTTTCCAAGTATTGATGACTCGGTGTGAAAACCTGTATGCCACGGGTATTTTGTTCGTTCTTGGCTTTTCTACTCGCCTGCTATATCCTCTGAGGTGTCCCGATCTAGTGGGAAGAAAGAGAGAGAATAAGTTAGGTCCGAAATCATTTCTCAGTATTCTGTACATCAATATTAGATCTCCCCTTGGTCTGCGATAGGACAGAGTAAAGAGGTTCAGTTCTTCACCTTTTAAACAGGCGCTTGCAGCCTGGACACAGTTCTCTAACTTAGTTCTCACTAAGGATGTGCATAATGTGGTGAACATGGTAGTAGTAAACTTAGTGAATGTCCTTTTTGAAGCTCAGAGGGTTCGAAACCCCTTAACTGCGACCCCCCGGCAATGGGCCGTCGTCTTAAGATCATTGCTCACTGTCACCCCTAGGTCCTTATGAGACCGGACTATGGGTAATGACACATCCCCTATGTTGTACGTATTAACCTTTGAATCCCCCGAGTGCATGTAGACACACTTTTCCGAGTTGATAGGCATCAGCCACTCTTTAGACCAGTTTATCATATTATTTAAGTCCGCCTGAAGAGTAAATGCGTCTTTGTCTCCAGTTATTACTCGCCAAATTTTTACATCGTCAGCGTATAATAACATTGGAGACTGTACTATACTCGTAAGATCATTAACGTACATTATAAAAAGTAAAGGACCTAAGACGGAATCTTGGGGTACTCCACTAAGCACTGGTCTCCAAATAGAGCACTTGGAATTTATTCTTACTTTTTGCATACGACCTACTAGGAAATCCTTAATCCATTTTAAAAGAGGTCCGGCAATACCAAGGTTTGCCAACTTCAATAGCAGTCTATTAGTTGGCACCTTGTCAAAAGCCTTACTGAAGTCTATGTAGACAACATCCACTGAGTTTCCGTTGTCTAGCGCATTAATCCAGAGCTCCCTAGCTATAAGGAGGTTCGTTGTACAGGATAGACCCTTTCTAAAACCATGTTGTGCCATGTTCAGCAAGTTATTGGTTTCCATAAATGCCGTTATGGTCCGTTTGATTATTCTTTCCAGTATTTTAATTACAACACTGGTGAGGCTTACGGGTCTGTAATCCGATGGAACTTGTCGTGGACCTGTTTTATGTATGGGAGTGACGATTGCGTCCTTCCAGTCCATAGGTAACACACCTTGGTCAAGTGACATTTTGAATATCACAGTCAGTGGGACTGCGATATATTGGGCAATATGTCTCAAGATTTTAGGGTGTAGTTCATCTGGTCCTGTTGACTTCTCCATGTTTAGGGTGCTAAGAGACTTAAGCACATCGTTTTGGTCGAAGTCCACGGTGAGCAGCTGGTTTGTTGACTCTGTAATTGGGTCTGGTTCTTTCTCTAGAGGAGGTTCCTGAGTGAAAACTGCCCCAAAATAGTCAGCCATAACCTCAGCTTCTTCCTGATCTTCCTCTATCATTTCAGATTCACTTCCTACTTTAATTAGGTTGGGAATCTAATGATGAATTCTTGTTCTGTAGTTTATGTACGAGAATATCCTCTTGGGTTGCTTGAGTGCAGATTGTGCCAGCTGCATTTCATATTTTCTTTGCGCTTCCCGAATTTTAGTTGTACACTCGTTTCTTATCGATCTGTAGCGTTCCATCGTACCTGCTGTGCCAAGGCGGATGGTACCATCCCAGCATTTCTTCTTTTGTCTTAGTAAGCGTCGAATATCCCGCCCTATCCAGGGATGTCCGTGCTTCTTTTACTTTGGGACAGTCCAGGGTATGTATGGTTGAGTTACCCGATTGTATAACTGACTGAATAGAGTCCATGCTTCTTGTACTGATGCCTTTGAGTCAATTTCTCAGTTCTCAGCCGATGCTGCGGAGTTAATTGCCTGCATATCTGCCTTCCATATGTTGGGACGGGCCGGTGCAACTGTTTGCCAGGCAATCTCAGCCATGAATTTGAATAAGATGACTGCATGGTCACTTCTCCCAAGTAGTGGGAGAAAAGCCATTTGATCAACATCATCACCATGTGTGAAAACTAAATCTAAACGAGAGGAAGAGTTTCTTAAGTCGTATCTTGTGGGATCTCTAATGTGTTGGAATTATGCTAATCCAATCGAGGTTTCTAACAGTTTGCAGTCGAACGACGATATGGATGACCCTACTTCTAAGTTAACCCAGTTTATATGTGGTGCATTAAAGTCGCCTACTACAAGACTTTTACCGTTGTTACACCAGGACTTAAGTTTACTTAGGACAAAATCATCTGCTACACATTCTGGACTGTGATAAACTACAACTACTTCAATATCTTGCCTTCGGCATTTCAACTTACATCTCACCAGTTCACACGTCCCTGAAACATGTGCTGCTGTCTCAGCTAATCTTATGGTTAGGGTACTTTTCGTGTACACAATAACCCCACCTCCCCTTCGGTTTAATCTATCAGCCCTACTGGTTATGAAACCAGTCAACTGGATTTCACTATCTAAAACTTCTGACGTTAACCAAGTTTCCGAGACAGCAATAACGTCCGGTTTTTCTTTATCCACCACTGACTTCAGCTCCGCCATTTTATTTAGTAGGGTGCAAGCATTTGTGTAGCACACTTTTAAGTCTGTGGAGAGCTTTCCCTTGCCACCCAGAGTGGCTTAGGGATCGTTTTGCTCCGAAATTTTACAATCTGAAAACCCTTAAGAACGAGGTTTCTTTCACCGTTTCGGCGACGCTCGTTTATTTCCGCTTCTGCAGCTCTTCTCTTAATACGATCAGCTAGGCTGAGGTCCTCACGGACATATATTCCAGAAACTGGAAACACAACATAGCAAGACGGAATGTAGACACAACTTCTACTCCTTAAGAGTTGTCAAAAGCTGGAACTCGCTGCCGGCCGAGCTAGTCCAAGCGACTTCTCAGGAGTCCTTCAAGAGGCAACTTGACCTATTCTTAAGGACTAAGGACAGCATCGCACTATGATTTACCAATTTCTTTTCCTCTTTTATTGCTAACATACCTAGGTTCCTGCCTGGAGGATTTGGTGATCCCCTGCTACTAGACACGGAAGCCTGTTAAGCGAAAGCTTCTTCTATTCCGTCCACAACCATTTGAACCATTTGAATCAGGCAGTTACAAGCTATGGACTGTGGGTAACATAACAAGGTCGTGTGTGACCGACCTCAAGCAGTTGTCCCTTGGGCACTGCGGTCACGCTCTCAGGTCACTAAGACCACCTTTAATCCAATTTCCTTTTCAGGTACCTCCAGAACAACCCTTCCACGGTGTGGGCAACCGGGTAGTGATAACCCCCCTCATACTTCTAACAGCACTCAAGACCACTGCATTCATAATCAACCTCCCTGTGGGTAAAGCATCGATGCAGTGCCTCTGTTGACTATACTATAAAGTATAGTTTGCCAATCAGAGTATAAGCGTTAAGAAGGGTATATTGTAGGATAGTTGTTGTAAAGAAGGATTTTAGATTCATTTTGATAGGAATTACGGAGAATAAAGCCAAGGAATTTCCGCATTTTGGATGCTTTGGCTGAGATGTGTTCAGAGATATTAAGACTGTGTGAGTAATGTACCCCTAGGTCAGTTACTGATGCCAGTCTGGGCAGTGTGTGATTGCTAAGTGTTTCATTTTAAGAGATGTGTCTCCTACACATAACCAGTCTCATTTCTCTGTGTTGAGCTCTAACCTCCAGCGTTTGCACCAGTTGTCTACCATGTTGAGTTCATGTTGGATTGTTTGCATAGTACTGCGTAAATCGCAAATGTCAGTTTTATAGATGACTTTTAAGTCATCGGCATAGAGGTGGGTCTTACCTGTGCTAAAACACTTGCATATATTGTTGATGTAGATTATAAAGAGCAATGGACCCAAGACACTACCCTGCACAACACCACTGGTTATTGGTCGAGGTGTAGATGTTTTAGAGTTAATGTTATTTATTTGATATCTGTTCGTAAGGAAAGACTTGATCCATTGCAAAAGGGGATTTATAATTGCAACTGACTTAAGTCTGTTGATTAGAAGATTATGAAGTACTTTATCAAAGGGTTTCTTAATATCGAGGTATAGTATAATAACTAGTTTCTTCTGGTCACGTATACGAGTAACCTCGTTAAAGAAGTCTATCAGGCATGTACTGCACGACCTTGTTCTAATGAAGCCGTGTTGTGACGGGTCTATTAGATGTTCCTTGAGTAGGTGATCAGATAGTTGATTTTGTATCACTTTTTCCATTATGCGTGATATGACTGGAGTGATATTTATAGGTCTGTAGTTTTCAACCAGGTTTCTCGGTCCGGATTTGTGTTTGGGAAGAACATACGTTACCTTCCAGGTTTCCGGATATGTACCTGTCTCTAAAGATAATGTGTATATTTTGAGTAGTAGCGTCTGTATGTCCGGTCCTGACATTTTATAAACGATTGAAGGGATGTCATCGGCACCAGAACTCGCATTTGGCTTAAGGGTTTTAATGGCGGTATGTATACTCCTAATGTCGAAGTTTATGGTACTAAGATAGTTTTTGCCGGTGCACTTTATGTCGATATCTGGAGCATCAGATGTATTCCGATTGTGAGGAAACCATTCACTTACTAGTTCACATATGACGGTTTGGTCATTATACGTTACTCCATCGTGCAGTAAGGAGTGAATGTTGTGGTCTGTGTTCTTTCTTATGCGTTTCGTGAGGAGACGACATAGGGCTTGGGCTTTAGATGCAGCAGCGAGCGCAGTACGTTCCTCTACCTGTTTATGCTTGTTGTGTTGACTTTGTACTCCGTCAAGTACAGAGTATATCTGGTGCAGGGCACTGAAGTCTTTTGATATTTAGTACATCCTTTTCGGTTTTCGTAGTTTAGACCTAGTCTTTTAGTTTACATAGGGAGTAATTGTTTTAAAACCAATTTTAGAGGGTATAGTAGTGTCTAGTGCAGATTTGGTGGTGATATTGAATATTTCTAATGTTTCTAAGAGGTTATTACTGGTAAAGAAACTGCCCCAGTCAGAGTGCTTTATTAGAAACCGAAAGTTTTCGCAGTCAGCGTTTGCATAGTCTCTATATTGGAATCGCGTGTTTAATGTCTTTAATTTGTTGCATATGGCAAGAATCGGAAGGGTGCAGAGGACTATTTTATGATCGCTGTTGTGAAACTTTTCGCCAACCACCATTGATGTTGGTGTGACATTATGACAGAATATCAAGTCAAGAATGTTGTGATTTCGTGTAGGCAGGTGTACATGTTGTTGCCAGCCGTGTATTTCTAAGGACCTAAGTATGCTTTCAAAGCACAATGGGCCAGAATGTGTTTTCCATTTGATGGTGGGAAGGTTGAAATCACCACATACAATTTTGTAAGTGAAGTCAAGCGAAGCAGCCTGAGCAAATGACTCACTTATAATAGTGTCAGTTGAACTAGGAGTGTTTGGAGCTCGATAAATGCATCCGATTAGTATTTTACACTCATGAGTGTGCACAGTAAGCCGTATCGATTCAGGAAGTTTGCTGAGGACGTGGTCGCTATAGATTTCCGCTCTCAAATTTTTTGATACATAAACGAGCCAACCACCACCCTTCTTGGTGACTCGATCACAGCGGAAGAGCTCATAGGTGTCTATTTGTAGATATGTGTCTGTGGTATCGGAGGACAGCCAACTTTCCGTTATCAAAACAAGTGAGGGGTTGTTTAGAAGTAATAGGGTGCGCAGGTAAGTCATCTTACAGGGCGGGTTTATTGCGCAGCCGTTCGCTCCGTTATAGTTTGTGGATGTGAAGCGTGGCCATTAAAAGTAAAGGATATTAGTGGGTCACTGGCATTTGGTTATAGGTGTCTACGAAGCATTGTCCGTGTATTTTGCTTTGCAACCACGGAGTAAGCAATGTCTGGGTTAAGAATAGAGTGCCAGGTGAGGATAGGGAACCGACTGGTGAGGTAGTAAGTCCTCATCAACTGAGGTGGTTGGGATGTGTTACGTATACCCAACCACCGTTTACCTCGACGAGTGATGTTTTCTGGTGCAGCAGTTGCTAGCTAGAAGAAAGATAGGGGCGACCGAGCCAAAACATGGCATCAGTACGTGATGTTACTGACAATTGGACTTAGCCATGTTAGCAAGTATAGATTACCTGGTTGTGGTCCGCGTGATTATCGTAACCAATGGTCAGACTTTGAATGACATGGCTCAAAATTGTTTGGAATGGCGCATGTGCATCTATTTTTTGTCTTCCCCCACATAATGAAACTCTACATTCCTCATAACATATTTTTGTTTATATTGCGCTTAATTAGATTTTCTTTTTAGGTCGTCTGTTCGACGCTTAGTTTTTTCTATTCCCACTGTTACTGTTACTGCCTGTGCTATCATGAGATTTGGCCTGACAAATTTATCTCTGTGTTAATGAGGTATGACAACTTGAACAGATGCACATACGTACAGGTTCTACATTTATGACTGACTGGTATTCTCAGAAACCTACCACTCTTCAGATTTTAACAGGTTGGTTCACAATCTGATGTTTTGTCGTTGAAGCTCTGCCTACTATCATGTTTCATAAACACTCATCACAATACATTTACCGACATGTAACAACTGAACAATTATTTAGCATTACTTATTGAAGATTTAGTCAACTGACACGACGACCAGTTCATTATTTCAGCTTTCTGATAATCTTCGCTCTCAACCTCACATATGTCACTAAGACCACCTCTAACTCAATTTCCTTTCCAGGCACCTCTAGAAGAACCCTTCCATGGTGTGAGCAACCGGGAAGTGATAACCGCCCTCATACCTCTAACGGCACTCAAGACCACTGTATTCGTAATAAACTTCTCTCTTCAATTCCTCCTACATCGACTTTCAACTCTAAACTTCCTCTTTTGGCTTCCTCCTCAAGTGTCACCATAGCCAACGATTCTAGTGCTCAAAACACTGTCCCGGGTTTACTGAAACCTCGCTCCAAACTACATATCGGAGTCTTCAACGTACACACACTATGTCAAATCGGTCAGCAGGCCTCCTTGGCTAAAACCCTAGAATCTCGTACTATTGATGTATGCTGTGTCTCTGAAACACGCATACAGGATTTCAGTGTGGTCATTCACTTGAGCTTACCTCGGCAAAACGGAGAGCCAAAGAGATACACCCTCCGTGTACCTGGTGACTCGATGGCTAATTCTCGTGGACTGGCAGGTGTAGGCGTAGCACTAAGCATGAGGGCGGAACAAGCACTGTTAAAGTGGATCCCCGTTAACAGTCGTTTATGTGCTGTTCGACTAAACGGCTACGCAAGAACTCAGAAGGATAGGGACACACGTCGTTGCCTTTTTACCGTTTCTGCTCACACTCCCACTGACTGCAGCTCGGATGAAGTGAAAGATGAATTTTACGAAAAGCTCTCTGAAGAAGTTCAGAGAGCTAAACGTTCAAACGTAGTACTCTTAGCAGGTGACTCTAATGCTCAGTTAGGTAGCTTAAACCAAAGAGAAAGACATTTAGGTGGGTATTTTGGTATTCTGTCTCAGTGAACAGATAATAGTGATCGTCTGTTGCGACCGTGCCCAGACAATCGTTTGTTGTTAACAAGCACTAATTTTAAGCATAAGGAGATACATCGTCTAACATGGCGACCCTCTGCACCAAACCAACGATGGACTCAAATAGACCATATTGCCATCAGTCATCGTTGGAGAGCGTCGATAGAAGGTTGTCGCTCATTCTGAAGTACTTGCTTGGACTCCGACCATGCCCTAATACGGGCACACATCTGCTTGCTTTTCGCTGGACGCAAATAAGCCGCACAAAAAGGACCCATTAGAACTGAATTGAGTAACGAGAAAACCAAAAGTAGGTTCCAGGAACAACTGAGGTCACACTTAGGTAGTTGTGAAGACGAGGCTGACCCAGATGTTGTTTGGAAAGATATACAAGCAGCTGTGGAAATAGCAGTGACATCTATTAGTGATTTAGGCCACAGGGTTACAAAGAACCAATGGATTCCTTTCAAGGTCTATTGCACTGATGGATTCTCGTAAAATCATTCCATCGGGTTCTGAACACGATGAAGAGCGAAAACAAATCAGATCTAGATTAAGCAAAAGTCTAAGGAACGACCGTGAGCTGTGGTGGGCAACGAAAGCAAAAGAGATAGAAAAGGCGGCGGCTATATGGAACACAAGACAGCTTTACAGATTAATAAAAGAAACTGGAATTACTAAGTCAAATGTAAGTGAGAATATCTCAGAAAATGACGACACTCATCTGCTCCCAGTTCAGACGATTATAAAGATCGGCGAAACACATTAAAAAGCAGTTCAGTTGTCCTCCAGCTACTCTACAACTACCCATCATTCCCAGACAGTGTGAATGGAACATTGAAGTAGGTCCCCCAACTCTAGCATAAGTTCAAAAGGCTATAGCTAATCTGAAACGAGGAATGGCAATTGATCCAGATGGATTGTCTCTAGAGGTCTTTAAGGATGGTGGAGCAATTTTAGCGATTAGGTTGACTAATATTTTGGCTAAGATCTGGGAGTTGGACGTTATTCCATCTGACTGGTCACAATCACTTATCGTCACAATATATAAGGTAGGGTTAAAATCATCCTGTGACAACCATAGGGGGATTAGTTTAACTAATATAGTATCTAAAGTACTAGCCTCGATAATTATTGGACGCCCAACTAAGACTCGTGAACTGCAGACACGAGAAAAGCAGTCTGTCTTCAGACCTGGTCATGGATGCATAGACCACATATTCACTATTCGTCAGGTTCTAGAACACAGGCATATTTATTTATTTATTTATTTATTTATTTATTTATTTATTTATTTTAACACATAGATATTGGTACAAGGAGGCACCAAATACATATGCGCCACACAAATCTCATTCGATATGTGTGAGGGCTGTGATACTGCCCGGGTGCCCAAACCGAAGCAGGTGGTTTTCTTAGGGGGCCACACCCCGAGTCTTCGACCTGAAGGTTTGATCCACAAGGCAGTGGAGCATCGTAAGGAGATGCAGTCCTATGGAAGCCGGTGACCAACGATTGGTCCGTACGCCATTTGTTCCCGCAGGATACTGGAGCCCATGTGCACCATTGGTTTGGAATCCGGTTAAAGCGCCGGACATTCGCTTTTCGTCCTCTCAATTTCGTAAACAACACCCCCGCCACGAGAAGGCAATGAGTAGGACTTCCCTGGAAGAGGCTGTATACGCGCGGCCGTGTGAGAGCATTTGGAGAGGGAGAGCGGACTCTTCCCACTCTCGGCCGTACCAGGGCATTTGGGGGCAAAGCCGAAAAAGGCCACCCGAAAGTAGCGGATGTTTCATACCTCAGGAGAGTGGGCATCAGATGCCTTGTCCGACCTTGTGCAGGGGACTGCCAACCATCTCTCCTTTTCTGATGCACAGGCATACTTATCGGCGTCCGACAATGGTGGTCTTTCTTGACTTAAAAGCAGCAGTTGACTCCGTAGACCGCGACATTCTGTGGCAGTGCCTGTCATTGAAAGGCGTACCTCAGAAGTACGTAAACCTTGTGAGGGCTCTTTACCCGAACACCATTAGTCGAGTCAGAGCTGATGGCGACTTGTCATCTGCTTTTGCGTCCGTCAAGGCTGCCCACTTTCTCCATTTTTGTTTAACTTCATCACAGACCTACTGATGGAAATAACATTCACGTCGACTGAATTGTCGGGTATTGATCTCCTTCCAGGAGGTCCACTTGTCGACTGGGAATACGCAGACAACATAGTCCTGTTTGGTGAAGACACTGATAAAATGAAGAGTCTTCTGGTGGCACTAAGCAACTATACCAGAATGTTTAGAATGAGCTTCTCTGCCTCTAAATGCAAGTTGTTGCTCCAGGACTGGCCTGCGTCAACATATGAACTAAATATAGGGAGTGAAGTAGTCGAACGCGTTGACAACTTCACTTGTCTTTGAAGTCTAATTAGCCCTAATGGGTTGGTATCTGACGAAATCTCAGCACGGATTCGGAAAGCTCGTTTTGCTTTTGCTAACTTACGTCATCTATGGTGAAGGCGAGATATCCGTCTATCAATAAAAGGACAAGTGTACTGCGCGGCAGTTCGTTCTGCTCTATTTTACGGCCACGAAACATGGCCATTAAGAGTAGAAGACACTCGTAAGCTACTAGTGTTTGACCACAGATGTCTTGCCCCCAAATGCCCTGGTATGGCCGAGAGTGGGGTGGGCCCGCCTCCCCTCTCGAAATGCTCTCACATGGCCACGCGTATACAGCCTCTGCCAGGGAAGTCCTACTCACTGCCTTCTCGTGACAGGGGTGTTGTTTGCGAAAATGAGAGGACGAAAAGCGAATGTCCGGCGCTGTAACCCGACCCCAAACCAAATCAATGTTGCACATGGGCTCCAGTATCCTGAGGGAACAAATGGCGTATGAACCAATCGTTGACCACCGGCCACCATGGGACTGGATCTCCTCACGATGCTCCACTGCCTTGTGGGTTAGACCTTTAGGTCAAAGGCTTGGGGTGTGGCCCCCTAAGAAAACCACCTGCTTCGGTTTGGGCACCCGGGCAGTATCCCAGCCCTCACACAAGTCGAATGACTTGTGTGGCGCATATCTACTTGGTGCCTCCTTGTACTAATGTTTATATGTTTAAATAAATAAATAAATAGGTAAACAGATGTCTTAGAAATATTGCTTGCATCTGCTGGTATCACCGGGTAAGTAACAGTGAGGTTAGATAGGGTATGGTAAATCAGTTGATGAGGTTGTGAGTCTTCATCGACTGAGATGGTTGGGCTACGTGTTGAGTGTGCCTGAACACCGATTACCACAACGTGCAATGCTAACGGGTGTTGGGGATGGTTGGAAGAAAGTTAGGGGTGGCCAAACCAAAACGTGGCATTGGTGCTTGAAGACACTAACATCTGGTCTGAGCCATGTTGGTAGATGCAGACTACTCAGTTAGGGTCCACGTGACTATCGTAACCAATGGTTGTAGACTCTTGGTGAGATGGCTCAGAATCGATCACAGTGGCGTCGGTGTATACACTGTCTGTCTTCCCTTAAACTAAGAGATTAAAATCGCTTCATATCTTCCTTTCTATGTACTAAATCTTTCTTCCTGTACTATATCCTTATATGCAATCTTTCATATATTGGCACTATTGACTTAACTACTCCTATGAATCGGGTGTTCATCTTGCTGTGCTAATGCGGTATGGCAACTTGAATCGATGCATATATGTGCCTGGTCCTACGTTGTAGCCGACTGACTGACTGATTGACTGATGTTATTGGTTCACACCAAAGTTTTTTTATACAGATGATACATGTATCTGTAACCTAATAAATTTAACTTAGTGTATTGTACGACTCTCTGGTTGGTTTTCCAGTTACACAGTTTTGTAAAATCTATTTTCTTTAGTTTTATAATTAACTGAAGGAAATGCTCCCATTTTATTCATTCTACGATCATTAGTTTACAGATGGTGTCTTACT